AGGAAAATGCGCGGAGAAAAAACTATAGGTGCCTGCCACCTCACCCAGCCTGTAAATTTTCAATAATGTAAGAGTAATGGTACTGGCACAGGCTCAGTGGCTCATGCCTGTAATCCTAGCACTTTGAGAGGCTGAGGCAGGTGGATTGCTTGAACTCAGGAGTTTGAGACCAACCTGAGCAAGAGTGAGATCACATCTCTACAAAAAAATAGAAAAACCCTGTTTCTACTAAAAAATAAAAAAACTAGTCGAACACTGTGGTGGGTGCCTGTAGTCCCAGCTACTTGGAAGGCTGAGGAAGAGGTATTGCTTGAGCCCAGGAGTTTGAGATTGCTATGAGCTAGCTGACACCATGGCACTCCTGCCTCGTGCAACAGGGGAAAGCTTCCTCTTCAAAAAAAAAAAGAAAAGAAACAAACAAACAAAATAAGATGTTAAGTGTATCTTCTAAAGATTTTATTATTGTCGTCCATGTTTCTGCTGATTTTTGTCTGATTTACTGATTTTTAAGAAGATATGCAAAATCTAAATTTCTTCTTTTTAAATTTTTTCTCTTTCTCCACATATTGTAAGCAAAATCCAAATTTTAATAATTTATTTACCACATTTCTTTTGGTCTTTTTCTTTGAGTAATTTTAAGTAATGTATAATTTTAAGTAATTTTGAGTAATGTATATTGTGAGTGAACATTTTCTCACAATTAATACATCCTTGTGCTTTATGACTCTCACTTTATAGCAGACCTCTATTGTTCTGTTACATGGTGGCATGATTTCCATTTCTAAATTACTAATAAAAGACTTCTCAACATTTAACGAAATCGGTATGCTGTATGGCTATATTTTTCAAAACTGTTTTTGTAAACTTTACTCAAAGAGGGAATAGATTTATTTTCACATTCTGAAATAGTTTAGACTTTAAGTTGTTTTAATTATTGTTATAAAGTGTTTATATTATAACTAAAAAAGGCTTGAAATTTTTGTCATACAGGCATTATTTATTGTTCTTCACTTCACATATGACATGATATATATGATTTTTCTTAACTTAGATTAGCTTTTCTTACTCTACATTAAATTCTACATATTTATTTTGTGTGTCCACTTAATATGTCCCATATTTATATTAATTTACCCTGATAACGTTGGATTTCTCTCTATATATATATTTTTTGAGACAGTCTCACTATGTCACCCTCTGTAGAGAGCTATGGTGTCACAGCTCACAGCAACCTCAAACTCTTGGGCTTAAGGAATTCTCTTGCCTCAGCCTCCCAAGTAGCTGGGATTACAAGTGCCCACGACAACACCCAGCTATTGTTTTTTGTTGCAGTTGTCATTGCTGTTTAGCTGGCCTGGCCAAGGTTCGGATTTCTATATTTTTTGAAATATAACATGCATATAGAAACAGCTCAGGCTTGGTGCCTGTAGCTCAAGTGGCTAGGGCAGCAGCCACATACACTAGAGCTGGCAGATTTGACTACAGCCCAGGCCACCAAACAACAATGACAACTACAACCAAAAAATAGCTGGGCGTTATGGTGGGCACCTGAAGTTCCAGCTACTTGGGAGCCTGAGGCAAGAGAATTGCTTAAGCCCAAGAGTTGGAGGTTGCTGTAAGCAGTGACACCACAGCTCTCTACCCAGGGAAACATAGTGAGACTCTGTCTCAAAAAAAAAAAAAAGAAAGAAAAGAAACAGCTCAAAACATACACGACCAGTTTAATACCTAATTCTAAAGTTCCATCTGTTTTATCTTGGCTAGATGAACAAGTGGAACATTCATAGCACCCCAAGAGAGCTATGCACACGCTTCCAAAACAATTATCCAAACTTCAGAATTTAAGCAATTTTCTGATATTCCAAGTGAGTAATTTCCCACGTGATGTGTGTAAACATACACATTGGGAAATAAGTATATCCGTGTTTTTCTTGATAGTTTTAACACTTGTGTGGTGGACACGTATCTCTGTATAATAACATGCTTTTCTCTACTTGGAAACCTTGTGAAAACAGAACCATAGGATAAGGATTATTATAATTATTATGTGTCCAATATAATGTTTGTGATTTTACATTTTTTATGTCGTTATCAAGTTAGTCATTTTCAGTTCTATATATATTCTATGGTATGAATATATGAATAAAATGCATTTCTACATTTTTCTTTTGAAGATTTTGTTTATTTTCCATGTTTTTGGCAGTTGCAAGAATTACTACCATAGAGATACCTACCATGTTTTCTGGTTTATATGCACTTGTCTACCTAGAGTATATATTGATTGAATAAATTTGTTTTCTACAAGGCCACACAAGTTTAAATTTATTGTATAATGTTGCATTAATTTGCTAGGGCTCTCACAAAAAATACCAGAGACTGGGAGCCTTAAATAACAGATGTTTATTTTCTCATATTTCAGGAAGTGGGATGCTTAGGATTGAGGTATTGACAGATTTGTTTTTCCTGAGGCCTCGCTTGTTGGCCTCCAGATGGTTGCCTTCTTGCTGTGCCTCAAATGGCCTTTCCTATGTGTGGGTGCATTCATAGTGTCCCTTCTTATAAAGACACTAATCAGGCTCGGTGCCTGTAGCTCAAGTGGCTAAGGCGCTAGCTACATACACCTAAGGTGGCAGGTTTGAATCCAGCCTGGGCCCACCAAACAACAATGACAGCTGCAACCAAAAAATAGC